AGAAAATATTTGTTATGCTACTCTCTACCCCCCCCCCCCCCCACCTCTCCTAAGTCTCTAAAAATTCATACGAACCCAAAGGAACTAATGTGCTCCATAACTAAAGAGAAATACTCTTTTTTGGTTAAAGAAAGTATTATTTCTACATCATGAAAGTAAAGTACTCATTTTATTGAAATAAAATAAAATACTTATTTTGTTGAAATGAAAAAAAAAAATTACATCATTAAAAGAAAATACTTTTTTTCTTGAAATAAAAAAAAATACTTTTTCTACATGAAAAGAAAATATTTTTTTTGTTAAATGAAAAAAAAACTTTTTATAAAAAAAAATACAGAAAGTACTATCAATAATATTTTTATTTAGGGTGGAGGTGGGGCGGGGGTTGGGGGTGGGGTGGGGTGGTGAGTGGGTTGGTGGGGATGGGTAATATGGTGGGGAAGGTTGAGAAGGAGTTTTGGAAAATATTTTTCCTTCTCTTGATAGGGAAAACATTTTACTCCAATTGGAGAAAAATGAGTTCATGAGGAAAATGTTTTTCAAAACATTTAGGCCAACCAAACATGGAAAAATTGATAAATATTTTCCTTCATACCAAATACACCCCTAATTTCAATATAAAATCGAACATAAATTCTCATATGTTTTTAAGTAGGATTTTACTTATTTTAAATTTTATAAAAGATATTATACGTCACAAAAGTTAATTGTGTATATTATTTTATAATTAAGAAGTTAGTAGTAAAAAAATTAGGGGTGAAAAACGGATGGGTTGGATCGTATATAGGTGTGTCGAAAATGGATAAGATATGTGATCCAACCCATATTTAATACGGATAGAAAATGGGTTAACCGGCGGATAATATCGATATTCATACTATCCATGGCTTCTTGAATATGATCACTTTGGGGAGAATTGCTAGTCTCCCAAATTTGAGGAATCCACAATTTGAGTCTTTGCAAATGGAAAAGTTAAACCCATTGGTTATCCATTTTTAAGTGGATAATATGGATCTTATCCATAATTGACCCATTTTTAAAAAGTTCGTTATCCAACTCATTTTTTAATGGGGAGTATAGATGTATAATTATTTTCTTATCAATTTTGCCACCACTAAAAAAATATTGACTTGCAAAAAGTAATAATGTCACGTAATATGGGACCCGTGTTTTAAAAGGCTTTCTTGGGGACTCGCCCAGGAGTGGGACACTATCAGAACGCCTTGAGGCTCACGTGTGGGGCCTAGTTCTATGAGGCTTAAGCCCCAAGTGCCCGACTGTGCGTCCGAAACATGCCTAACGCACAATGCTTGAGGTGCGCCTAAAAATTCCTAACGCAAATCGTACGTCGAATTCCCTAATTACCACTATTGACCCTCAAAATTCTATAGAAAATAAATTGTTAAAGTTCTATTTACTCTATAGAATATGAAGATTGAGAATAACTCAAGATAATGAGTTATATATAGTTCATATTTACTAATTGAGAATATTACTTTTGAATAGATAACCAAAAATCTATATTTTCACTTACTATAATCTTCATATCTTAGTTTTATGTCTATCAAAATGTTAAGTTTGTATTATTTTGCTATGAAAGTAATTTTACAATTAGGAGTAATATTTTAAATTACAGTACTGATGAAGTTTATTAATTGTTAACTTTTAGATAGATAAAATGTAATCCGATTATATTTTTTAACAAATCATAATTTTCTAATTGTTTGATAGATAAAAAGTTATAGTTAATTTTATCTCATAGTAACTTTTTTTATTTATATGTATAAAAGAGATGTTAGATATTTATTTTCTATGAGTTCTTAAAATCTTTTTAAATTTTCCTAAACTTTTAATGTACCTTATATATTTTTATGGTTATTATGCTATTTTATTAATTCATAAATTAACAAAATTTAAAAAATCTATAGGGCTCATGTCTCGGACTTACTCATCGCCCCACGTTAAGTAAAACGCACCGACTTATGCCCACCTTTTAAAAAACTATATGGGACAAAGAAAACTCCTATCTTAATGTAAAGAACTTCCTCTGTTTGTGATTTTTAATATACAGGTTGTGGCTATGCCTGATCTCTCTCACCATAATGGGGATATTAAATTTTTTTTTTTTTGAAAAAAGCTCATATCTTGAAACAAGCCTTAGGTGATAAACAACACAGGGAATACTGATAGGAGAGGACAACGACAATAAATAAAGCTCCTCTCTTGCATTTTATAATCTTTTCCTTCTTCTAATAAATAATTAATAATACTTAACATCGTTCTCAACCTTAACTGAGCAATTTATGGTATATATAAAGGAAAATATCAAGTGCAACGGCTAAACACAACTCAGTGACTACATCTCAAACCTGATGCTTGTGGTTTATCTAGCTTTTATCTAATTTCATGCATGTGCATTACTACCATATAGAGATATTTGTGATTTCTAATTGTTGTGTTTTTGTTAATGATAATATATATAGATGGCTAGGTGTCCTCATATTTGTTGACTAACATATAATCATTGTTTTAAAAGACGTTTTTGGACGAGCACCAAGGCGAGCCTCGAGTGGGACATAGAAAAAACACGCTGGGGTGATCCGGGGGAGCAAAAGTATCACGAGGCATAAGTCCCAAAGTAAGATTAGGCGTTGGACGAGTTTTTATTTTTGGGGTAAGCACAATAAAACTCTCAAGTTAGAATTAAAATTACAAACAACTCATTAATATAATACCAAAAAACACAAAAATCAACTTGTTATTATGTTCTAAAACGTCAAAAAACTTAAAAGTCAAAAGATATTTTACTCTTCCGTAATATTTATTTTTTCTCTTCATCTTCTACCAAGTAACGAAAAAAATAATCAATTTGCAAATCACAAATCAAAGACGCGTTATCTTTTTTAATTTTCTTTGCTTCGACACTATACGTTCCTTCTTTACTTTTCTTTCTTTTCAAGTTAGTTTTCTCTTTAAGTTAGTTTATAAATTTCTAATAATTTATTTTTCAAAGTTGATTTTTTTTATGAAGCAATTTTTTTGGTAATTAAATGATTTAGTTTACTAAGTATAAGTATTTACAGGCTAAACAAGTTGAGACTATCTTCTATCTTTGCTCCTGCTGGACATGAAGCCCCAGGTAGGATGTTCCTATCCTTTCTACTCTTCCTCTTCTACACCTCTTCTCAGCTACATTATATCAGGATACCAATTCAATGTATTCATGATTCTATCTAAACTAGGAAACATATTAGCTCTAACATGTATTTCCTGAATGATTAATCTAAGTATGGCTTTAACAGTTCTTCTCTTTTGCTGGAAAATAACATTTTTTCTCTCCTGCAAAATATGGTAAACTCCTGCTGCTATTGACATCCTGCATATTGCTGCCCCTCCATTTTTGCCTTTGTCTTTCTTTTCTATCCACGTCAACTCTTCCTTCCAGTCTAGCTTTGGTCTCTGAATGCCTTGCCATTTTAGGATCTGCTGCCATATAGTTGTTGATACTTCACATTCAAAGAATAGGTGTTATAATGTTTCATTCTCTTTTTGACATAGTGAGCATGTATTGTCTACATTTATCCCCCATCTTGCTAGCCTTTCTTTTGTGGCTAGCCTCTCCTGTATTGCCAATCTCAGAATAAAGATCCATCTTGGTAGTCCATGATTATTGCAAACTAGTTTTCTCCATGATACCTTCTGAAACTCCCATTGTATAGCTTTGTATATGTGTCTTGTAGAGAAATTGTCCATCTTATTCACCTCCTCTTCTATATATCCAACAGCCTCAAAGTAGTTTCTTTCCTTGAAGATATGTTGGATGACCCACGATGCACCCTTCGGTTCTGTGTTCCATACAGTATTCCTCTTTATGTAGTATGCATGTATTCATTGGACCCATAACTTTTTTTCTTTGTACAGATGTTCCACAGGAGTTTGCATATAGCTGTTTTATTCCATAGCTCCACATTGATGAAGTTTAGACCACCTGCTACCTTTGGAGTACAAAGCTTTTTCCATGCAATCAATGCCTTTTTGGAAGGTTTAGCATTTCCTGACCATAAGGATCTTCTACAAATTGTGTCTACGAACTGAATGATCTTCTTAGGCAGGATGAAAATCTGAGCCCAAAATGTTTGGATTGCAACCAGTACACGTTTGATTAGCATTGCTCTGCCTGCATTGACAAGAATTTTATTGTCTAGCATTGTATCCTGCTCAGCATTCTATCAATTAAAGGTTCACATTGAATAGCTGATAGCCTCTTTGTGCTCAAGGGTACCCTTAGGTATCTGAAGAGTAGTTCTCCCTTGGTATAGCCCAACATATCCATAATTTGCTTTTGAATCATGTTATCCACTCCTTCAAAGTAAATGCAGCTTTTGTTTGGGTTTGCAATTAACCCTGAAGTTGCAGAGAAAGCTTGGAATTGTTGGTGCAGTACCCTTACTAATTTTATGTCCCCTCTGCAAAAAAAGTAATAGATCATCAGCTAATCCTAAGTGCACTAGATTGACTTTGGCACATTTTGGATGGAATTTGAATTCTTTGTTCTCCTTCAAGGGCTTCAGTAGTCTACTCAAATATTCCGTTGCCATCACAAATAGTACTGGTGAAAGGGGATCCCCCTGCCTAAGTCCCTTCCTTGCCTCAAAAGGCTTAGCTGGCTGCCCATTAATTATAATAGAGTAGGCAATTGTACTAATGCACACCATTATCCATTTTACAAATTTCTCAGGGAACCCTAGTAGCTTCATCACTTGCTCGATGTATACCCATTTCACAGAATCATATGCTTTTTGTATATCAATTTTAAGCATGCATCTTGGCGATATGTTCTTTCTCCCAGACCCTTTGACCAATTCATGACTCATAATAATGTTGTCAGTAATCATTCTTCTTGGTACAAAAGCTGTTTGGCAGTTATCTATGAGGTCTGTCATGACTTTCTGTAGTCTTGCTGTTAGGACTTTTGATATTATCTTGTATAGCAATGTGCATCAAGAAATAGGCCTGAATTCCTTGATGTTGGTTGGGTTCTTTACTTTAGGTATTAGGGTAATAGTGATACAATTGATGGCTTTGCACATTTCAGTAGTTTCAAAGAATTCCATTACTGCTGTAGTAACATCCTCCCCAATTATGTGCCATGTCCTCTTGAAAAAGCAGGAATTATATCCATCACATCCTGGTGCTTTACTATTATCAATTCCATGTAGAGCTTTCTTCACTTTTTCTTTTGTGATTGGCTTAATTAACTGCAGTTGTTGTTGCCTGTTCAGAGTGTATCCATTCTGCATAATTCCTGGAGTAACTACTGGCAGTTGTGGAGCTGCTGTACCAAGTAGTTTTTGTAGAAGCTCAGGATCTCCTCTTCTACTTCAGTGGTACTTTGTAACATTTGCCCTGCAATGTCCATCAATCTGCCAATGTGGTTCCTTGCTTGCCTGTTTTTCACACATGCATGAAAATATGATGTGTTAGAATCCCCTAGCTTAAGCCATTTGTTTCTTGATTTCTGTTTTACAACACTTTGCTCCACTTTCAACCATTTTGCCAACTCAAATTTAGCAGCCTTTTCTTGTACTATTGCTTCATTATCATTTCCTGGAAGTGTCATCACCACTTGAATGTCTTCTAGTTTGTTCCTTGCTGCTTCAATCTTGTGTCCAATATTGCTGTATTATTGGCTGTTTAGTTGCTTTAGATCTCCTTTTAATTTTTTGAGCTTATTCCACACATTAAGAATTGCAGATCCCCTGTACCTCTTTCTCCAACATTATTTGACTATATCACCAAAGTCATGATGGGTTGCTAAAGATTTGAAAATTTAAAAGGTCGCCTTCCTTCCAGCTTAGTATCAGCGATAGTTACTTTTAAAGGACAATGGTATGATAATCCTGGATTCATAATGATCCCCTCCATGGTAGGCCGTTTCTGCATCCAATCTGCATTGACAAGTATTCTTTCAATTCTACTGTGAACATGATTGTTTGTCCAGGTGTAACTTTTCCCCACTGTTCTGAGCTCATCTAGTCTAGCATCAATTATGAAATTTTTAAAAACTTTCACCTCTACCTCTTGTACTAGATTCCCATGTACTCTGTCATCTATAGACAAAATACTATTAAAGTCCCCCATTACTAAGCTTGGTCCAGTGACTCCATTCATGGTTCCTTTCAGATCCTCCCATAGTATCTTCCTATCTTGTATGCTATGATTTCCATATACTGCAACAAAGTTGAATTTGATGTTGTATTGCCTCATGCTCACCTGCCCTACCATGTATTGTTCATGGGCTTGAATCACCTCAAACTCCACCTTTGCTTGGTCTCATACTAACCCAGATTCTCCCTCCTGGTGCCTCATCATAGTTAGCAGCCCATTGCCAATTACTGAATACCTTTCTCATTATTGGATCAACATTATTTGCCTTAACTCTATTTTCCAGGACAACCATAACTACCACATTATTCTCCCTATAATATTTTTAGTTCTTTTTGCTTATACACTTTATTCATACCCCTAACATTCCATGTTACGATATTCATCATGATATAATATTTATTTTGGGTCCACCTCCTCCTTCACTCCTACTCCTCTGCCCTCTTATTCCCTGAGCTTCAGATAATTGCACAATCTTTTGGGCAGTGTCAACTAGAGCTTTAAATGCATTACCAATGTTTACTTCATTCTCTCTTGTGGTTCCCATAATCTTTTTCGATGCAGACTTTCCTCTAGCAAGATGCCATTGCTCTTCATTTTCCCGTTGAATAGGCATTTCTCCACTTTCTGGTTCCATTTGGTCCATGAACATCAATTTTATCCACATTAGGATTAAGTACCCTCACTATTCTCCATTCTTGCTTTATTTTCTGGTCATTACCTCTTTGCTATCCTCCCTCCTTGTTCTACTTTTATCGGTCTCTACATGAATGGCCAATTTGGCAACATGTTTGGCAGTACTAAGGCTTCCAGTCATATTATACTATCTTCTTGATCACCTTTCCCTTAGGGTCATATAGTTTGATTGATCCTGGTAGTGGCCTAGTGATATCTATTTCAATTAACACCCTGGCATATGATACTATGTCAGCCATTGTAGTACATGCATCAGCGTACAAAGCCTTTCCTAACCCACTCCCAATTTTTCTTAGGGCCTGATTACTCCAGTAGCTAAGTGGCAACTTAGGAAATTTAACCCATAGAGGAATGGTTTTGATTATTTACTCACTGAAATCAAACCCTTCCGACCATGGTCTGAGAATGATTGGTCTATTTTTCATGGTATACGGGCTATTCAGTATCACTTCATCCCTTTCTTCACAGCTATTCATCAAAATTATGAAGTACCCATCATTATGGAAGAGTACTTTAGGTTTCCTGGCTTTGCTCCACTGGCTTGCTATGAATCGTTCAATTGCCCCAATAGTTGGAGTATTTCCTACTATGTACAATATTATAGCTCGATTCCACTTCTGATTCTCCTTTGCAATGTCTTCATCCAGCAATTGTACTACTATTTTCCCATCCTGTTTCACCGGAGGAATATATGATAGATTCATACCTTTAGCTGCAAGTTCGTTCTCACTAAACAGTCCTGCCCAGGATCTTCCCCCATTTCCAATCTAAGTTGTTTTCACCTCTTGCATGTTCTTCTCATTGTCAATTACAGTACTTCTCTGGTCCTTTGGCAAGTTTGCATTTACTGTTCCATTGCTTTACAATTTGCTCGTACTCGCATCGCCTCTTGAGGTCATCGGTGCAGCTACTTGTTTAGCTCCAACGTTCATCGTTGGTGTCAATTGTTGAAGTAATTTAGTCATTATGGAAGTTGTTTTGATTAGGCTTTTAGTCAATTGTTTATTTTAGTCGTGATTTTAATTAGCGTTTTAACATGAAATAATTTTGTATATTCTTTCACGTACTTTTATGTCTTCTTGAAATTTTTATAACATTTATAGATTTTACCTTGTTAATATTCTTTTTTATTATGAATCATCATGCTATACTCGCGGGGAGGGAAAAACGAGCAGTTTATGCTTTAGTAGCTACCGTTTCACTAGCTCTAGCATTCACAGGTTTTCAAGGAATGGATTATTATCCAGCACCCTTCACTATTTCGGATAGTATTTATGGTCCTACCTTTTTCTTAGTAACTGGCCAGCACTAGAGTGGGATAAATAAACCTTGCTTTAGTTGAAGCCTCCTCATGTCCACGATCGGTTGAGGTCACAGCAATGCCCTCTTGGTCACTTGCTTGTTAAGTGAACCACTAATGACGAAGTGCCCCATACCAGCACTAAGGGGTAAGGTATGGAAGCAGTCTGATTATTTCTACTTGAGTTGACTTAAGTCTTTCTCTCCTTGTACAATCTTGGCTCCACCTGTTATCTCCTTCTACAATATGTTGTTGTCATCGCCATATTCCAAATGTCACTTAGTCATCTTTGCCTTGCTGCTGGTCAACACTTGCGAAATGTTAAACTTAAAAAATAAAAATTAAAGATTCATAAGGCTTATGCCAAGCGCCTCGAGGCTTACGCCTAACCCCATATCAGGCAAAAACTCCTCATTTATGCCCCTGCTTTTTAAAATACTGCACATAATTATACGCCAAAAAGTTGAAATGGATATTGTATAGATTTATCTCCCGCTACTCAACATATTGTTATAATAATGATGTGTGCTAGTCGATGTTAGTTTAGATCTGATTTAATGATGCAAATAATATATATGTGCAGGAAATCATGGATAACCATTCAAAGATGGAAGGAATCAATTAGAGAGGCTCAAGGAATCAAGGAGTTACTACGAGATTGAAGAAATCAATCAGGAAGCTTAAGGAAAGAAATCAATCAGCAAAGATCACGAAACCAATGGACAGGTACGATGGAAAGAATCAAGCAAGCCTAAACTTAAGGCATCAATCAAGTCCATCACATTCAATCCGGAAGATTGAAGCAGACAAGAAGCATCGAAGATTCTGTAAGAAGATTAATCAAGCTGCTATTTTCGAAGGACCAACAATCAAGGAGTAAACCCGCGTCATCAAGACCAGTAGAAGGAAAGCCATCAATGCCCTCTCATCAAGGAAGAGCAACGGCAAGTAACCTTATTCTTGGAAAGAATCAATCTCTTTCCAAGGATCAAATCTCTTGGGTTGTCAAATTTCTTCAGCAAACGGGCTTCACCAAAGTATTTATACTCAGCATCAAGCCTTAGACAAATATACTTTGATCGAACCAAACACTCTCTCTTTGTTGTACTGCAAAGAAACATTGTAGCTCTCTAAGACCTGTTGTGTAACAAGTTAGAGAAGAAAGAGAGAACAACACTGGTGAGGCATTGTATCAAAAGAGACGAGTGCTATAGGAACTGAGCTATCACAGCATTTCTATTGTACTCGAAGAAACACATTTACTAAAGAGAAATCCCTTGCAACCCAAGGGGACTGGACTAGGATTCACATTGAATCTGAACCAGTATAAAAATTCCGGTGTCTTTAATTCCTGCATTTACTTTCTGCATTTTATATTCTGCTATTACAACTGTTAGTTTATTGCATCTAGTCGACTAATTGAAAAACCAGTCAACTAATAGAGATTAAGTTTAAAAATATACATTCACCCCCCTCTTGTACTTTCAATTGGTATCAGAGCGAGGCTCGCATTTTTCTTTTGTTAACAGCTTGTGAGAAAATATCATGGCAAATCAAGTTATCATAGGAGATCTATTCCAGGAAGGAACTTCACAAGTTAGACCACCATACTTCAATGGACAACATTTCTCTCACTGGAAAGTGCGTATGGAGATCTATGCCAAGGCATATGATCTTAAGTTTGGAGAGTCATCAAAAAGGGGAACTATCCCCTGCCAGCTGTTACTCCACCACTTGCCGATCCTGAAGATATAGATTCATATACAAAAGAGCAAATGGAAGTGGTACAAGTTAACAATAAAGCGAGAAACCTGCTTTATAATGCCATAAGTGGTGAAGAGTATGAGAATATCTCTAGCTGTGACACAGCCAAAGAAATGTGGGACAAGCTTGAGGTTACATATGAAGGAACCAGCAAAGTAAAGGAAACACATATCAACATGTTGGTTCATGATTACAAACTCTTTTCAATGAAAGAAGGAGAGTCTATTGAGGAGATGTTTGCTAGATTCAGCAAAATAATTAGCGATCTAAAAGCATTTGGCAAACCATATACGAGTGGTGATCAAGTCAGAAAAATTCTCAGAAGTCTTCCAACCACTTGGCAGACCAAAGTAGTCACACTTGAATCTCAAGATCTAAACAAGTTATCCTATGATGAACTACGAGGAGAACTCATAGCCTTTGAAAAGACACATCTCAAGAAGAACAGTCAAGAAGAAAAAAGGAAAACAGTCGCATTCAAGGCTTCAACTGAAATAGCTGAAAATGAAATCGATGATGATCCTGAAGCTCTACAAGAAGAGATTGCTATGCTATCAAGAAACATGGATGGCTTAATGAGAAGATTCAGGAATACGAAGAAAGGAAGAATTCCACCTAGGCAATCCAGGAAATACAACGAACAGGACAAGAATGATGGAAAATGCTATGAGTGTGGAAGATTTGGACACATTCAA